ACCAATTTGACAAGTAGGTAATTTTTGGTAAGTACCTCAGTAAGGAAGCATGATATTCTTTTAAGAGTAGAAAAACGAAAATTTCACTTTCAGTAGCGAGTGAAAATGGTGGACAACGGAGAATCCACTGACCGACTTTGGTGTAAAACAATGGAAAGAGTCAGCGACGCACAACAAATGTGCAATTTACTGATATTTTATCAATAATTGTTAATGGTTCGATGCTAGCTGATATCATACTTTTTAACAAATCGACAGCGATGCAGCGTGGTCTTTACTCGACAACGATATTTTTCATCACAGTGGCCAAAATGTTGTAGACTCATTCGGCTGCGCCTCGTGAGTCCGTAGTAAGACGTTTTCTTTCAATCATCTTCGAGACTACGACCAATATGAGACAAGTCACCAACTTCCATGACAGTTAAAAACCTACCTTTTGCCTCAGTTTCAAACTCCACCAACAGAAGGAAAAACAATGGAAGCAGAATCACGGTGCTAAGTATCTTTTCTTCCATCGATTCCTGTTAATGATTAAAAAAGAAAGTAAAATTCGATATTCCGGTGTAAAGATGTCAGTGTTGACAAGGACTCTTCTCATAACCCGGCGGGAGGGGGGGGGCTACTTCTTATCAGTTATGCGATACTCACTTTTACTTTCACTTTCACCGGTGTAAAAGTCACTCTTGTTAAACCTTGTTGCAGATGGTGTCGGGATGAACAGTTAGTAGGTGCTTCTGTTTAGCTCGTGCCACAACTGAATTTACCAGCTTCAAATCACTCAATTTATTCCTTTCGAGACGTACAATTTCGCATTTACAAACCTCACGTATTTTCAGTAGTCAAGGTTACCCCGGAACTGGCAAAAAAGCAGTAAGGTCATAACCTAATCGAATTTACGATAAAGGTATACTTATCATAACCTGTTTATTTTAGGACGGTACTTTCCGAGGAATGCTAAACATCACGTCGTAAAAGCACACGTATTAGGAAGTTCTTTCCCTATAGAAGCGCCCAATATATTTTAACAGGCTACTTCTTTTAGCCTTAAAGGGGCTTTACTCAGTTGTATTTAGGCTACGAAGAGTTTTTGTAGTTACTGCTTCCTACACGAGAAAAAGCCACTTTTGTCAACATTGTTGGATCGTGTTGTGAGATGTTGTGATTGAGCTGACCAAACGCACGTAACATCTTGCAACATCCAAAAAATCTTGCAACATCCAAAAATCTTGCAAAAAAAAATTGATCATTTTTCAAACTTAATCCAACTTTGACTACGAATATGTGAAAATCATATACGCATCTTGAAAATCATATATCCAACATCTTGCAACATGTTGCAATACGTTGCTACAGGGTGGCCAAACGCGTGCATGCATATGCGTCCCAAGCTCATGTCTTGAGGAGATGAAAATATTATTTTCGGACACGTACGTATTTATTAATGAAAGCGTTAGGGTTGTGTTATAGGGTGTTAGGTAACGCGAGGAACCGTTGAGAATTTGAACTCGCTAAATATTCCTAGACATGAACATTTTACACATAAGATTAATAAAACTAACTCATTCCTTATGTGTCCGTCGTAGTTTCTAATGATCTCTGCCGTTTTGGGCTTGCTTTGCCATCACTGTAATTCTAGCCATAACGAGCACTTGGAAATGCTGGTAGAAAACTCGTTTTCATCGTAATGCGCGAAGATTTTTACACTTTCCAGGGTGCGATGATCTCATATAATAAACTGTGTTGATATTTCGGAATGTTTAGCGTTGTTAATGAAGCATATATTGTTCCCCATACTATTCCTTATAACGGATTCAAATTCTCGACGATTCCTCGCGCAACCTAACACTGTGTAACATACGTAGCCTACGTGTAGCCGTACCCTCCCCCCCCAAGGCAAAACGGAAGGTAAGGAAACTTATAAGTTACCTCGCTTCCGTTTCACCTCGTGGCTACACGTAGGCTAACACATACGTGTCCGAGAATTCATATTTCCCTTTTCTCGAGTGAGCTTGGGATGCCCTTGGTGCAACACGTTGCGCGCAACAATGTTACAAGTTTTTGCGTTGAAATGTGGCGTGCGTTTGGTCGGGCCTTAAGAGTGAGTCAGTGAGTGAGAGTTACATTACAGTGCCGAACTTCACCCGATTTTACTCGAAGTTTTTTGTTTCGGAGTTTCTTCACCGTAGTTTGACTTTCGCACAATAAATAATTGGGTGCAGCATACACTAAAGAAAGAAGAATGCGTTTTGAAACCAATTATTTTTTGCCTAACAGCACCCAAGATATGATCTTCTCTGTGGTTGCCGTGACGCTACGTTCTAAGTCACTACAGTCACTACGAGAAACACTGGTGTGTTGCTCTGGAATGTCAAAGTCCAAGTAAGGCAGAGACGTTTTGTTGACACGAACAACCGGAAGAAGATTAAAACTAATTCTGGCACGTTTTGTCGTCAATAGAGCCACTGTAAGGTTGTCGTTCGTTTAGCATTTTAAACCAATTGTGCTGACCAGAAAGGTGTAGTGAGCACTAAGAATGAAAACTTCTAACTTCCAGCAGCTGCCGTCCGCGTCACAAAGACATTTTTGCTTAACTGCTCCCTACACTAAATTGTAGTTCACTCCTCAGATTTTTCTCGCTGACCCCACCGGAATTGTGTATGAAATTTTCACGTATCTGATTTACACGGTGTTTCGCAATGGTCGAGTGGTCACTGAGAGAGTAGATCCTCTCTTGAGGTCACTAGAAAAAAACGCAAAAAAAAGAACTCGGCCAATATCCAGCCATCTTGACCTCACGCCTAATCAATAACGCATATAAACAGGCGTAATTCATCTTCTAGAACTTACATGATGCAAATAAATAAATACAGACGCGAGGTAAGTTTGTTTTCAATCGAAACTAGCTCAGATTTTTGGGTCTGGTTCATTTCCATACAAACCTTTATGGCGTAAAACAAACAAACAAACAAGACTGACAGGAGGCTACTGTCTAAGCTGCGGGTAAAAGCTGCCTGTTCCGGAACTTACACACTCGTTCACCTGCTCATTTCAAAATCGAGGAAAAATTCCGACGCAAAATTGACGTAAAAATGAGTTTCTTCACGTCAACCGCTGATAGGCGGATATCTTTAAAAGCTGTCATGTGCTCAATGATTTTCTCCTGTTCATGAAACAATTCAATGGTCAGAATCTATGGCCAGAAAAAGATCTACTTTCTCTTTCTCAAGGACGGTAAAGCTGAGGAGCTGTAAAGCATGTGCTGTCAGGTGATACTGGAATCATCTATCAACCAGCGAGGGAGTTGTGATGGCTCCTTGTGGAGCGTGAAATTTAGTTTGGGGGAAACTACAGTCCTCAACCCCCGTCGACTGGCTCAGCCGTCTTTACTTCTACGTAAGTGTCAAACAAACAGGCAAACTGACAAAATACAACCAAGCCAGACGGTGCCAGTTTTGGTGCCAGTCCATTATCTTTCTCCGTGATGGAGAGAGACTGGGGCATTACGTTACCACCTTCAATTTAAATTTTTTGTAGCAGTTTTTGGTTGTATCCGTTGCAATCAATGTAATGAAGCTAAAATGAGCAGCCCAGAACATCGACAACTCGTAGGAAGGTTCAGCTTAACCGTCAATGGGGAAGAGAAAAACGTTGACGTGTACGAATTTCGATATGTTTGGAAATCTCGATCTGGGATCGAGCTTGTCGACCGCCAAAATGAGAACGGCGACATTTACGCTATTTTGTCAGCCAATCATCCTGAGGTTAATCTGGAACCGGGAGAATTTATCGTGAACTCGAGCACTGAAAACAAGGAAATATTGCCTCAAATGCAGCAATTCCCAGAGTTTGAAGATACTGGACGAGTTGCAAATTTTTCCGGTGGCAAGTTTCCAATATGGCGACTACAAAGCTACGATGTTTGCCCGGGAGAAGTCGTCAGAAATAAGGTTGAAAGCGACTTACACTTTACAGGTGTTGTAGAGAGGCTGTTTTCTGATATGCACGAAAGCCTTCCCAAGAAACAGTACAAGGATGTGATCGCTGCAAGTCAATTGATTGAAAGCTTGCAGTTTTTGTCACAAGCACTGTGTGAATCAGATTTCTTTTCGGAGGACGCTCAAAGCTTGAAACATAATGAAAAATGGTTAACGAAAGACGCCAGAGGAAGGTGGAAGATTGTGAGAGAGACAGAAATATAATTAATTGTCACATATCCAAACTTCTTGTACCGAACCGTGACTACTGACTTACGTTTAAGTTCCACAACGATTCGGTGGGCCGTGTCACAGAATCGTTACGACTCAACATTTGTGTAAACTGAAGTTGCCTCTTATTACTCAGCTGTGTTAATGATAATCACAACCTTTTATTCCTCTCTGCCGCTTTGACTGTCCACAAATCATTACTTGCAGTTGACTAGCTAGGATGAACAGCAACTGCAAACCAAATCAGTTTTCATAAAGTAGTCTCTCGTAATTAAGAATATATGTTATTCACCAGCTGGGTGCCCAAGGGCTTGAGTACCGCCCAAGGCTCAAGACCTCGGGCACAGTCCGACCTAGTCTGTTGAGTAACATTTTCATTTTTTTCTAAAACTTAACAACATTTTTGCCAAAGGAACCCGATTGATTTAAGGCAGTAATTAAGGCAAGATCTTCCTTTGACTGAACAATTTTTGAGCGAGTAAATGGTAATCAGACCACAGGATTCGTTACCGTGTCCTCTGAGAAAAAGGAAGGTTTTTATTTTTTTCTTTAAAATACTGAACATCGCACTGCTATAACATGTAGAGACACGTGACACTGCATAACCTCACGCTCTGTCCCACCTATCTTTGAATTGATTTGAGGTTTTCTTTTTCATTTATTATAGGCAGTATAGTTTTCTTTGAAAACCAGTTGAAACAGAGGAAACCAAATTTAAAGGAATGTCACGTACGAATGAACTGTGGCGAAAACCTTGTCCTGAAAATAGTACATTCGTAGAGAGAAAGACTTGAATGGCTTTTCATGATAAACTTTATTTCCTCTTCTCCTAAGACTAAAAGAGGCCCTGAACAGAATTAGATTTAAAGCTATCAAAACCAGCCCTGCTTGAGAGCACTATTTTCAATTCTTGCGCGTTTGTTTCATTCAATATTCACAAAACATTTCAAAAATATTATTATTAGTTATAATTTTGCAAAGGTTCCACCAATGAGTGCAACATATGAAGTAAACTGCATACAAACTATCCTTGTCTCTTAAAGCAGTTTTCAATTGAGTAATGAAACTAGTGGTGTTGCCTTAGTTTTGCTACACTTTGGTCTGAGTAGTTTTCAATTAACTGTCAAAAGTAATTCATGATTACTTTGGTTTTGCTTAACTTTGCTCTTTGATTGGATCAGAAAACTTCTGACAACTTTTAAACCAATCAGACTCAAAAAATTAAAACTACTCATGATATGGTTGCCTACAATTTCCCTTATTTCATGCAGTTTGCTGTTTTTACTTCAAGCTCTCATTTAATGATGATGTCAATCTTAACTGACTCCAATTGGTTGTTGTGATTACTATGGTTTTTTTTTAAACAACTGAAAACTGCTCTTAAACAAAATCTCACTTGTTCACTTGTATTTTCTTGCCCATAAGACAGTTTATCTGTTTTAATTTAAATTCTCATTAGTCCCACGTGATGTTTTTCTTCCAATGGGCTTTTGTGATTACTTTGATTTTGTTTTAAAGACACTCAATCAAAAAGTGCTGTATGTACTGATAAGGAATTAAATAAGTTATATCATGCCTGCTGTAAGTTTCCCCATACCTAAAGTAAACCAGGATATATTTTTGTTCTTTTACTCTGTATTTTACATGACTATCACACAAACCTTTAAGCATATCATTTTAACCCTAGCTCATAAAGTCAGAAAATATTTATCTTTTGATAATTTTATTCAAATTACTTCCTACAAAACATAGTCTACAGTTCCATTTTCAAACACAGTGTCATAAAATAATTATTTTACAGGGTACAGTTGAACCTTGATTATCCAGACTCATGGGGAACTGGGCTCAATAGTCCAAATAATTGAAAATATGAATATAAATGTTTGTAGATAAAAGGACCAGAGATGCAACTTAAGATAACCAAAAAATTCCAATAAATGAGGTCTAGATAATCAAAGTTTGACTGTACTTGTACTTGCAAACTCTGGTAACAACAACATTCCCCAACAATTTTATTGTTTACATTTTCAAAACATCTATAGTTCATAAACTGCCTTAAATCATTGGGTTGACTTTTCAAGGATGCTTTTATTCCACCTGCTGTTATCAAAGTTTAAATCATGAATGGCTCACCCAGTGCTCCTTTAAGGTTGCTTACTATCCTCTTCACTTTCCTGAAAGATAGTTTTGTTTTATTTAGTTTAGGAGTAGTGCAGGTTGAAAAGTTCACCATTGTAAGGTGAGTTAAAATTGAAAGTAAGCTGCAACGAAAGGCCCTTAAAAGACGATGAAAACAAAACACTTTATTTTTGGAAAAAAGGTTGTGGTATTTAAAAAAGACAGACATAGAAAGGGCCTGATGACAATTGCATCATTCCTGTTTTGAAGCAAAAGACAACCTTATTTCATTTGTAAGCTTGAGGGTATAGTTTGCTGTCCAACAGCCCTATTAATAAAAGCAACTGCAATTTTTTTTCTTTGTATACTTAACCATAATTATTTTTATGGTTAACAAGTCCTGCAGAGGGCCTATCAACTTTACCAAGTACACTACCTTTTTCTCTGCTTCTTGTTCAGTTCTTGAGGTGGCACTGACTCCAGGTAACTTCTGATTAAGCAGTTCTTCATCCTTGGAAGACAGTCCAACAAATGTTTGGTCTTTGTCCATACCTCCAGGTACATCACTTGTCTTAATTAATTATTAAGAATTCATTTCAGTCTTTTACTTTATCAAAGGTTTCCCTTCACTTTTTTATCAAATTTTTAAGACTAATTTGATTTTTGTTGTTGTTTAGCAATCACCTGACTGAATGAAAAAAAGCCAAATTATATATGTAAAATATATAAAAGGAATGTATCTCACACAGTTTTAACTAAACCTCAAATGTTGACCTCATATAAGTGACTAAATAGGAATTTCCCTTTAAATTATCAATTCATTTTGAAGCAGAGAGGTGATGAGGAGACAGAAAAATATTAATTGAAGGACATCATTTGATTTGGCACCAAATTCTCAAAGTAAAATGCAAGAGAAATGTTTGAGAGACAGTGCAGAGAAGGAATGTTTTGATCCTGGGAGTGAAAGGATTAACTCACTGAAGACATGCTTTGTGAAGGCTATGGCACCCATGTAAGATAAAGTCAAGGGTTTTAAAAACTGACCAACCTCCGCTTCTGAGCCAAAGAAATCATCAAGTTCCTTATCCATATCACTGTTGTCTTCCAACATGATATCATCCAGAGATCCACTACCCTGACCATGCACCAAACAGATTGGTTCTAACATGCAAAATTAGTAGTTGACAGACAGGCTTCAAGTTAATTGTGAATTTCATAAACTTGTTCTTTACAAACTATGAAGGGACTTAGAAAACTGTGAACACTTTGATTTGATTGTAAAGGTCAGTTGTATCCTGAACAATCTCAATAGTAACAGAAATGCAAGCAAACTTCAAAATCACAAACTTAGAGCCATCACTATTTGCAGTTTTGCTTTTTCACCCTGATTAGCCTTTACCTTAAAAGACAATAACATTTTGTGAATATTTCTGGTCTTCACAGTTTACTGAGTTTCAGAGAAATCGTTGGTGGTTTGATATTAATTGATACACAGGAATATTTCGCCTGACAATCTTTCTCTTTTTACTTTCAGAGTGGTTAGTGACATCTGATCATGAAACTGATTGGATTTACCAAACATAAATTTGCTACCCTGCATTTAATCATATGTACATGCAAAAGAATGATATTTGGCATATAACTGCAAGCAGTTAAGTAAGAATCAATAAAGGTCATGTATTTTGTTTTTTCATACCTTCTGTTCTGCCATGCTGTATGTAGTAGTTCATTTGTTCAAGAAAGGCATCTTCATAGACTTGTCGTTTTTCTATGGAAGCTTGCCTCTCCAGTTGCTGTATTTTAACTTCATTCCTTTCCTTGGCTAATTGAAGCTCCTCTGAAACAATTTGAAGAGCAATCATGATTACAAACTACCATAATTGTATAACCTCTTCCTGAACTCTGATGACAACTTTCATCACATTCGATGTATCAAATGATTTATCCTATGATATCACAACCATCTTACATTTCCACTTAGTTTGAATCATAAACCATGCAGAGAAATTAAAGCAATATAATTAAACAAGTAGGACCAACAATCTCTTTTAATCTGCTCCCACTATTGTGAAAGCACTATGACTAGAAGAACTGGTTGTGCCTCTAAAAAAGTTATTAATGAACACAGATCACACCCTACCACCAGTGCCCATATTCTCCATACTGTTCTCTATACCTGTAAATTTCCTTGGGTAATGATGAGGAGAATTTGATTATTAATCAAGAGCTTTCTTAGCTTGGTGATCATTTCCTTTATTTGAGTGACTTCGGTGTGTGACTCAGGGGTTATATTGTGAGGAGAAATGAGACACTCCAGTCTTAGGGGTCAAAGGTTTAAAAGTGACAAAGGATATTTTCCTACCTCTAAGAGTTTCCAAATCATCCCTGAAAAATCAATTATGGTAGAAAGTAAGGTAAATGAATAACTGATGTAGGTGACAGAAATGCAAGACAAGATACATGTACATGCACACTTAGTGGATGTTAGTAGTACATTACAGATATTTCTAACCATCAAAGATACTGTCACACGCAAGATTAAGGGATGACTACCAGTGTACTTCAGTTTATAATACAGAACACCACAGTCACCAAAGTGCTTGGGGAAGGTATGAAAACCATAACTGAAGCTAGCAAGCTACTCACTGAAATGTTCAAATCATACAGAGAACTGGTAATGAATAGATAATGAATGCTTGTTTGGGGCAGCTTGCTTTGCCAGTGTCCCATGGGGTTGTGCTGTGACAATTTACTGATTCTTAACAACTGCTACTTCGCACTGAACAAAATATATGTTTAACTTACTCTCTGTTATGTCTTAGCTTGGAAAGCTTGAGTCCTTGCGCAGCTTTCCGTCTCTCTAGGTCCAGCTGTTCACAAACCTCTTCCAAGTCTATCATCAAGTTATCCAACACTTCTATCTGTCCACCAAAGGCATCTAACAACAATATCACACCAAATAGCTTGTAAGCCAATGGATAGCTACATGATGTAATGAAATTTGCATATGAATACCATTATATAGGGCATGTTTTTGTAACTTACCAGTTTGTTTTGGGTTTCTATGACCAGGAATTAATTAGTTACAGTTACCATAAAAGCTTTATAACTTGTCATATCATTGAATTTAGCAACTGTTCTCCTTCTGGATGCATATAACACAATAGCACTGTATAATTCTGCTACTTATGAAATGAGACCCCCATGGTACCAAACCATTTCACGCTGTATTGCTCTAACTGTCTCTAACCCTATAGCCAACCCCTAAGAGTGACTGGCTTTTGATTTCTGAGAATTTCAGAGTTAGCATTAAAAGCCTTGCTGCAACTATTCCTATGAAAACATATGTACTAATAATAATAATAATAATAATAATAATAATATAATAGGCTTTATTTAGAGAGGGTAAAAATACTTAACAGTAGCCCTAGGACACTGATGACTCGGTGGCCCTCAAAACAATTATAAAATATAGATGCTACAACTAATAACTATAAAATATACCATATTAAAAAGATAAAATATCACAAATAATTCATATATACAAAAAAAAAATATTTGTACATGTTATATGTACTCAAGTATACCTATATCTGCCTTGGCTGTTTCAATGTTCTTTATCACTTCAGGTAGTAAAGCCAGTTCTGTGTGGAACATATTCATGTTGGTGTATAAATTGGAGCATATCTTGGAAAATTCAGCGATACTCTGATCAGCCCTCTAGAAAAGGAAAATTTAAAAAATAGACAACAAAAACAATAACACAAAAGTAAAACATTCTGAATGACGAGAAAAAAACCGACAGAATGACAACAAAAAAAACTACAGAATGACAACAAAAAAACCGACAGAATGACAACAAAAAAAACTTACTACAGTGTTAATTACGCTTACTGACCTCTGCTTTTTCTGCACATTCTCTAGATGCTTCATGAAGCTCTGCCCATTCTTTTTGGAACCTAATAAATGTTTACCCATTATTTTTGCAATGATTAATATTTCATATTAATTACCAATAATTAAATATTTAACCTAAAGCTGTGTGTAGTCAAAGTTATATGTGCTAAAAATGAGATAAGAACATTCATACTGAAAGTACAAATTTAAAACAGCTAACCATGGCTCGCTTTTAGTACAAAAAAAATGTGATTAGAGTTCCTAAAAAAAGAACTAAAACATATTTTTTTCCCTCTGTAATTTATCAATCTATAGTCAAACATTTTATTCCTGAGCCAATTCAGTATGATACTAAAAAAAGAACATCTCAACCACTGAGTGTCAATATGCAACATGCTGTTGTTCAATATGCAAGATGTACATGTTGTTGTTCAGATCTTTTTAGATGAAGACAGCAGTGGGAAAATGACACTTCTTTCTGGTGGCCATTCCTCCAACTGTCTGTACCATTTCAATGACAATTTTCTGGATAATTAGTTGATAGAAAAATCTCAAGAACATCTTTACCTAATCCTTTCAACCCTGATGGTGACTACCATGTAATATCTCCTTACAGTAATACTACTGAATTATTCATTAAGATTATGAGGATAAAGGAAATGATTGCCAACCTAAGAAGCTTTGATCGTTAACAAATTCTCCCTGTCAGTATCAAAGGAAAGGACTGGAAAAGAGTAGGGAGAATATACCTGTGTGTAGATAGTGATGTTAGGTTGTAAAGTTTTCAGTTTCCAAGCAGAATGTACTTTAAGTTTTACCTATCGCTGATTTGTTGAAATCGTATTACATATTAACTGGAATAGAAGTGGTCTATTTTTCTCCACTAATTACTGGCACTCAGTCATCACTTACTTGCTTAGGATTTCAGAACCTGCCTCAAGGTTACAACTAAAGCACTGGTCATCACTATGGATCAGGGAAAACCACAAAATGATAATGATTATTTAAATAAAATCACTTTGGGCTCTCCTAAGCTAGCACAATAAAAAAAGCTCAGTGGGTCAGCATACATGCTGTATGTCAGCAATTTGCATCATTTACAATTCTCTTAGTGGTTTCTTGCTCTTTTTCTTTCTAAAGTGCTTAATTTTTTTGTGCAAAACTTACAATATTTAATTCATGGGCATGACATTTACCATATTTCTTCAAAAAAGCACCCTAAGTGCTTGATTGAAGTATTTAACAAATAGTAAGTTTATTTCACAATAAAAAAATAGATAACAATAAAATGTGAAGATATAGCACAGAAAGGGAATTCAAAGATTATAAGCCAGTAAACAAATGATAATCAATTATCATGTGTGCACCTGAGTTTTTTTTTCTTGTAGAAGGGGGGTGTTGAGTTGGGTGGGTGCCTAAATTCAAACCTAGAGACTTAATCAATTAGATAGGTATGCAACCGTTTAACATCACGCGAATCACCAATTAAGAATTATTGCAATGTAACAGAGAGACCAGAACATGTTAACCGAGAGATGTATGCAATGAAATAACCCGTGTTCAAGTAGAGCAAATAACATGAAGAAAATACCCTGATTTGAGAACCTACCTTTCAATTACTTCATCTGTGATGAATGTCGTTCTTCTGTTCAATAAAACAGGATATTTGTACTCAAGCTTATTGTTACACAATACCTTAAGACTAACATCTTAGTCCTCCCTATAGTATCAGCCTTGAACCTAACACAAAAGTCACGAGAGTGAAGGAAATGATCGGCATCTTAAGACGCTATCGACTGTTATAAAAACTATCCTTGTGAACACCACTAGAAATGTATGAAGATTATCTTAAATACGAACTGATGCTAGGGTGTAAAGGGTTACCCAGGTTTAGGTAGCTACAGTTAAGGATATTAATCTTGATTATCCAGTTATATACACGTAAAAGCTTACACAAAAATAACAATTAACACCACATACTGATAAACTAACCTTACTATTTTCTTATTGACAGCTTTGGCCTTATCTGCGATTGATTTCCAGCTGATGGAGGATAAAATCAAAACCGAGTAATGATCATAGGCTTCTTCTAAAACTCGTGCAAAACTATACAACCACAATTACTCTTACCCTTGGGTCAGATCATGTTGTACTGTTTGCAAACGATCTCTAAAATTATCAAACATTCTGTCTGCGTTATTACACCGAGATCGTCTGGCCTTCTTGGTATTAGTTCGTCTCGAAAATTGACTAAATGTTCTCCATCTTTTCTTTCTATTTTTGTTCTTTGACTATATTAAACTACGAGAAACCGCTGACTAAATATGGCCCACAATGCATCTCTAGGTCATTTCTAATATGGCCGCAGGGCGCTTCTTGTTCGTTTCCTGTTTGAACCTTGAAAGTATTGTGGAACCTGAACATTGACGTAAAAATTTTCCAATATATCAGCGCGTTTTGAGATTCAGAAGCTCGGAATTTTTTGGCGCATTGCTTATCTTTCTCAAGTTGTTTGGGATCCATCTGTGATCAAGTTTACCTTTCTTCATTTTGTTTGTAGTTCTGGAAGATTCGAAGGCGCACGTAACAACGTAACCTAATTGTTTATGTAGTTATTTCAAAGTAGAGGAGGAAATGGCGAACTCAAGTGACGAGTCTCTTATTATGACTTTACTGGAACAGATCAGGGCTTTGGAAGATGAGAGGGATAAGGCTTTGCAGCTTGTTAGCGAGCTCGAGAAGAAAGTGAAAGCAGGCTCAAAGTCAGAAACAGACTCTCACGGAGTCCAAGGTATCGACAGTCCGAGCGAGGAGTGTGAGACGAAACTTGAGAAATTAAAGGAAGAGAACGAAGTTTTAAAAGGAACCGTTGAATCAATGGCACAAGCGGTGATATTCGATCTCGAAGAAATTCGACTCAATGAAGAACAACGAAGATTTAATTTAAAAGAACTCATTTGCGAGGAGCAGAATCATCAATCCGAAGAGTCAAGCAAGGACATGGATGCTGATGGTTATAAGACAATGTTGGACATGTGTAAAAAGTATTATGGAAAAATGGTGGCTGAGCTTCAGGACGAGAGAGGCTCTTTACAGCAGAAGGTTGAGAAACAGCAAGCTTTGCTCCTGGAAAAGGACATGAAAATTGCAGAACTGGAATTGAAGCTACAGCAAGGTTCTCGAAAGTAAAATATGATAATTGCTTGAAATACATCTTTGTGAAAACAGGTTAGATTTTGTATAATTTGATACACGACACTCAGAGAAACCAAAGTTCAAATGGGATTCATCATTCATAAGTTGCATGGAGATAAATATGGTTATAATAATGAAATAAAATTAGGGGCTCCTGATCAAGTTAATTAAAAGAATTTGAAAATCATGCTTGGTTTTATGCTACTCTGGTTTAAAAATTTAATGAATGTAAGTGAGAAGTTACAATTCATAGACCCATCCTACAGAACCCATCAAGAGAATTTTGAATAGCCACAACATTTAAGTTGCTCAAAAACCTTTTAAGACTTTAGGGTATATTTTTGCAAAACCTAAGGATCCTGTTAGGAAATGACAATGAACTGACACTATTTATTCTATTTTGTGCAATGACTGTGATCACAAGTATATCAGACAGACCAAAAAGAGCATCGAAATGGGGTCTTCTTTTGGGAAAAAAAAAATTCAGCTTTGTCAGTTCACGCATGTGTAACCACAGGCAGCTCAAGCTCTAGCTGTGAGATGATCATCTTGTGAAAGAAGAGTCATTGCAAAATTATAAGAATTGGTATGGGTATATTTACAACCACTCTAATGATTAAAAAAATAAGTCAAATTCTCATTAAAATACCTCACCTTACTTCTACAGTGAATTTCCTGTTATCTGAGCACTTACTATGTTGAAAAGAACCCATTTTAGCTAGCTATCCATTTCAAGCTTTCCTTTTGTACATAGTAAACCTTGAAATGGATGACTTGCTAAAGTGGGTTCTTTTTAACATAGTAAGCAGTCAGATAACAAGCAATGCATTGTGAAAGTAAGGTGAGGTATTTTTATTGAGAATTTGACTTATTATTTTATTCCCTAGAGCTTCAAACTCACATCTTAAGAATTTTTGGTACACAGTAAGGAGAATTTCTAATGAGATCTTAGGAGTGAAAGGGTTAATATAAGTCAGTGCTGTGTTCATCAATGTCCTAACCCAGTGGTTCAGATTTTTTCTTTTCAACATATTGGGAGGAAACTTAGTGATGTCTTTCATGGTGATAATCTGTAGAAATATAAAAAAAAATGTGAAATATTTGCCATTATAGTATGTCAAAGAGAAATTCTGATTCCCCTGAGATTAAATGATTTTCAGACCTTTACTGGTGCATGTGTTTGCATATTGGCTCATTATTTTCAGTGAATCAAGGATGTGAAATAGTGCATCACTGCTGGGCATAAGTAAATGGTAAACTGTCTTTTATAACTGTAAAATTGCTCAGGATTGATCAGGGTTACAGTTCATTCAATTAATGTTTTGACACACATAATAAAGAGTCAAATGACTCATTCTTAGGAAAGCAAGAATTTGAATTAGGATATTTCTCATATTTCATATTTAATTATTGACATTGTCAAGTGAATGATTGGGAAATGCCTTCATAAATTAATAAGCATTTGTGGCAAAATGGGTGATTTAATAATTCAATTGCAAAAATAAGTGTTGCAATCAGCTCTACTACTGATTGCCAGAATGTTGCCAATCACTTGTTATGTGCAAAGTAATTGAAAACAGAGTCACATTTACTTCTAACAACAAAATTTACAATGAAGAAATAACCCAACTTTTTTTATTTTAAGCATTACTGTACACAGACAGTTATTTAAGTTTCCAATAGTTTAATCATGAACATTCATCAATATGACATACATGTAGGTCAGAAAGATATTCCATGAATTAAAGTATGTTTTTAAAATTACATGCAAATTCATAAGTGTGGTTGAAATTGTTTATTTTGTAGTATTTCCTAGGGTTGAATTAAATGCTTTTTGAGATTTAAAGGTACCAGATTAAAACCGATCAAACTTTTGCTGTTGACCCTTTAACTCCCATGAGTGACCATGAGAGATTTTCT